TAAGGAGAATGAAAGAGGATGTACTGCAAGATCTTCCACCCAAAATCATTCAAGATTATTACTGTATTCTCAGTCCTCTACAGGTATGCTTAAACAGTTGCTGGGAGCCTAGTTTTTTCCGCACAGTTAAGACCACAAAGGAACTACTTCTGTATTCCTGGGTCAATCTGCTGTTAGCGCTTACATCCCCTGAGACCACAGGACTAAAAAGCTTTCTAGTACCTGTTTAAAAACTAATTTCAGTCCAGTTGCAATAGGGATTTCTTTAGCTTAATTTCTGGCAGCATTCTACAAGAACAACATCTAGGCATCTGCAGATTTTTTTGAAGAATACTTTCCAAGCTGAAAGAAAATAAATTGCAAGAGATTCCATTGTTAATGTTGATGTCATGCTACATATAAAGTAGCTCTTTTGATTTATGATAATTCAGAACTTTAACTCAGTTCTAAGTTCTAAAAATGGCTGTTTATCTTAATTCTGTTGGGGAAAACATACTAATTCTTTTGCCTGGACCCTGGTCTACAGGTTCAGCTTTATGAAGATTTTGCCAAGTCTCGTGCCAAATGTGATATTGATGAAACAGTTTCTTCAATTTCACTGAATGAAGAAACTGAAAAACCAAAGCTTAAAGCTACAGGTCATGTATTTCAGGTACGGATTTCTTCAGTAACTTTTATTCTGCTAAATGTATTTCCAGGTTTAATAAAAAATGATAATTAACATAGTTAACGTACATTTATGGCCATATGATCTAAGTAAAATATTTAGATTTTGGATCAGATTGCCTGTACTGTGATGTATAGCTATTATGCTTAAATTGTTTTTTATGTCTTAAGTCATATAAAACTGTCATAAATTTTTTAATGTGTTCATCTATTTTGTGAATCTTGGATACTATTCTCAATTAAAAACTGATTACCAAAAGTGCAAAGCAAGAGGGAACTAATTTTGATCTGATCAGTTGTTACACTACAAAATTAAGATTCTAAAACATGAACAAAAAAGCTTCCTTAAGGTTAGAGCTGAATTTATGCAGTTTGATGGTATTACAGAATTGCAGGTTAAGTCTTGGCTACTTGGAAACAATAATTCTCGAAGGCTCTGCACAAATCCCAAACCCATCTACTCTACCCTGTGCTCACACGAAGATGTGGGGAAATTGTAATCTCTGCACTGTTCCTGCAACAGGAACAAAGATCATTATGCACGTAATGGTTACTGGATACAGTTTGGAATACAGGTTTTCTTAATATAAATATGGAACTTTATTTTAATGAAAATACACCCTGAAGTTCAAATTGCGGAGTGTGGCTGAGTGGGCCTGATACTTATAATCAGTTTTGTTCATCCTTTTCCTGTAACTATGATGTTGTTAACCATTTCTTTGAACTTCATTTCCTAAATAAAGGCATTGCAATACTTACGGAAGCTATGCAACCATCCAGCATTGGTGTTAACAGCACAACATCCAGAATATAAAAGAATTACAGAGCAACTTGCAGCTCATAATTCATCCCTTCGAGATATCCAACATGCACCAAAGCTGTCTGCTTTAAAACAAGTAAGTAGACTTGCACGTTGTGCCTTAGATTTCCTAAACATGTCTCTGCCGATGTTACCATTCAGAAAGTTTTGTTAAAGACTTCATCAGTATGAAAACTGATCCTAAACCACTAGTGAAGTAGCACATGAAATAGAGTACAAGACATTTTTAGGCATATGCACTATTTTTCGTGTTAATTCAAGGGGGAGGGGGAAGTGCAAGTTTGCTTCAAGGTGATGATGTTTACGTAATTTTTGCTGCCTTGTCAAAAACCTGACTTTTATTCTGTTTCTTAGTCCTGTCCCTCTTGTTACAGGAAAACTTTTCTGCTATTTATTATAGAGACTGTTAGCTTGATAAAGTTAGGTTGCATTATGTACTTATATTCTACTGTGAGTAAAGCAAAATGAAGAAAATTACTATTCTGTTGACTCAAATTTTTCATAGTTTGACAGTGAAGCCAAACTTTGTGTTATGTCACTTAAGTGACTGCTATGTACAAACTTCCTTCTGTAGCTTTATTGTTTCTCTTATTTCTACTTTTGATTCTCCATCAATGTCAATATTTGCATGAGGTCTGTTGTCATTTTGAACATACACGATAATGCTCTTTTACTTTAAGCTGCTGCTAGACTGCGGTTTGGGGAATGGTGGTTCTTCAGAAAGTGGTACAGAAGCTGTTGTGGCCCAGCACAGGGTGCTTATCTTCTGCCAACTGAAAAGCATGCTGGATATAGTGGAGCATGACCTTCTCAGACCGCAGTTACCTTCAGTTACTTACTTACGACTAGATGGCAGCATACCTGCTGGTCAGAGGCATTCCATTGTTTCACGGTAAGCGTATCGCTTCATAACCAGTATGAGGCCAACTGTAATGAACTGTATTATTTATATTCTTTTGTCAGCCTCAAAGCATAAATTCATTATTTAAGTGAAACTTACCATGCTTATCTTTTTTTGTATGCAGGTTTAATAACGACCCATCTATAGATGTTCTTTTGCTCACCACTCATGTTGGTGGATTGGGGCTTAACTTGACAGGGGCTGATACAGTAGTGTTTGTGGAACATGACTGGAACCCAATGAGAGACCTGCAAGCCATGGATCGGGCGCATCGCATTGGGCAGGTGAAAAACTTAATTTCCCATAAGTTTTTTTTGCTTTGCTGAACTCCCGTTTCTTCAAGTTTGGATAAGGTTGAGGCATATAATAAAGGTGATGCCTGGCGGTGTCCATCAAGCTTCCACTCACGCTGCTTCCTTGCAAACACGCCAGATGTTGAAGTGTGTACTTTCTTACCGTATTCCCAGCTTGCTACACCTTCTCTTCTGTACTTCCTGAGCTGCTGAGGGGAGGCCAGGGAAGAATCGCCCTTCAGTGGAGGGAGAGATGCAACTGAGACAACCAAGGAACTGAAGGGAAGCCCCC